AGATGAGGAAAAAAAGCCATTCCAAAAAGCCAAGTTATATAATAAGGGTGGTGGTGGGAAAGTTCATCCTGGCCCCTGGAATCAAACAGTGAAAGCCCAGGAACATGTAATGAATGTGATGAAAGCAAATGGTGATGTAGTCCACTTTGTAGAAGACAAGGAGTGAATGAATATTGCTGAGATACATAAAACAGGCCTTTTTTTTTTTTTGTCTGGGGCACTTAATTGAGCAAATCAGCAATTCAACCCTTACTAAGTGTTTGCACTGCTGCAAAGGGGATTTTTAAGAAGGGTTTTGAACAAAAACTTCAAATTAGCTTCACGCTCAAAGGGGATGTCCAGGGGATGATCAGAGCGACAGGGAAAATGTTGATGCTCTCAGACAGATGACAGTAGAAAGGAAAATAGAGAGGAAGAGGGAAATGCATCCTGACTCATTCTGGTCTCCAGTGTATTGGTACACATCTGGGAGGTGGCAGGGAGACTGCTCCTCTGATGAATTCCACCAAAAGCAATGACTGCTTTGTGCTCACAGCGTGCCACTAGTAAAGCCAACCTATTTCTTTAAAAAGCAGACAACGAATAATACCTCTCAAATGGAGCCTCATTTTGAGCTATAACAGGATAGAAAGGATTTGGCAGTGAAAGGGTTAGCGCTCTCAAGAAGCCGAAAGACCACACTGCATGTCCTAATTACAAGGCTCATCAGGCCAGCTGCAATGAATTCAGGATTTCCTTATCTTGCTGTACCGGGAGTATGGGGGACCTGGTGCTAAAACTTAGAAATTGGCTTGGTGGGAAGTTTGAGCGGATAATGTAAGTTTGTTTGTTTGCTTGGTTTTTCTCCCTATGAAACTTGTTGACTTAGTTGAATGTGAACCAAACTGAAAATCTGGTGTTGTACTTTCCAAAGGTAATCTCTCCGCTTAGTAGATCTTTGAACTGCATCTGTTGGTGGTGTTGGGAAGTAAGGCTTCCTTTGTTATTTGTTTGCTAAGTGTTTCCAGTTAAAGGGCACATAATCCGTAAGGTTGCAGTGTGGTCCTTTGTGAAAGAGGCAGCTATTGTCTTCTAGAGCTTCCTTACTCTGATTTCCAGTTGGGTAACATATGTCAGTGACTCAAGAGTTCCAGCATCTAACTCACCTCTAAGAAATTCCTAGTTAAGTGAATGATCTGGCAAATGCTCTTGATTCCCTTGGCTGGTCCCTGCCTTTCAGAGACAGCTTTTGGGATTCATGTGCCAAGAGGTGGATAAGGAAACACTGAAACAGAATTTCTCTCTTCAGCTTCTTTTTTAGCAATGGGATAATGTTCAAAATAAAGACAATGGTACTGTCGGGAACGTGCAGTGAAACATTTGAACAAATAGGTGGCAAGTCTTACTTTCCAAATTTCCTACTGGTATAGCTACTGCTTTAGCTGTAAAGGTATTTTTTAATGGGGAGCAGAAAGCACAGATAGCATGATAGCATCTCAATTATGACAACAATTAATTCTGCCCAAAGGTGATAGGATTACCTATCTTCCAGAACAGCTGATATTAATAAGCGATGGCAACCTGTTTATGTGGGAATGGCACCTTGTTATTAGGACTTATAGGAGTTAAGAAGCAAAGCTTTTAGGCATGGGACTGGAAATGTAGAGGCGCACCCGGAAAATTCAGTTTCTGCCCTAAATTCAGTTTGTGGCTGCTGGACCCTTAAGGCAGTGATAAAGGGGTACAGATCCACCAGTTACCTGAAGCTAGAATGACCTGTGCTGGTTGAAGTGGTTGATAGGCTGCATCTGGCCAGTACATTTGTTTGGTGCTCTTGGGGTTGTTTGGGTTTTTTTTTAAATTTAAAAACTATACTTTGAAAAACTACTCCACTCCCCCCCCCCAAAAAAAAAAAAAGAAAAAAGAAACTACACTGGTACCCCTACACAATATCTCACCAGTTAGAGGAGAGAAAGAAATACTTAAACCATCCATATGAGCATGAAGAAAATGCAACTTCTTGCCCTCTTTGAAGTCATCTGCTGTTTAAGTGTAATAGCTAAAACTGGATGGGAGAAGCCATATAATGCTCCCAAACTGTTGGATTCTGTGCATAGTATCCCTCGTCACAGATGTCCTTCTTTGTTCCTGCTAGTTAAGAGATCTAACATTGAAGTTGGCAGAGGTGACTACTCCACCTTAGCAGAATGATTTCCTTTGGATGTGGCATCATTATTGTGACTATTCCACCTGAAATCCAGTGGGTTAACATTAAAAAAAGCAAAACCAACCAAACAAACAAAACCCCACAACAGTCCAATACTAAAAAATTCTTCCCTGTTTACAGCTGTTTGAAAGGATCTCTAAAGGACTTGTGAAAGAACCTGCTCAGGCTGTAAGTTAGTATGATTTGTGCTAGTGGTTCTCTCCACGTTTGTTTTAATTGCACATACTGAAGTAAGGTCCTGTAGCATTTCGATATTCCTATATAGTCCAGTCATCAGTTCTTCCACTACATGAAATAGTCTGTAATTGAAAAGCGATGAGCAAAGAATTTTTGATGACTTATTTTTGCTTTAGTATGTTGCCAACCTAATAAAGCAAACAAAAATAAAGCAGTCTTAACTTCCAGAGTTAAGTTTAAGTCAGCAGGCGCCATGGCTGTTTGAAGTTTGCTGGGAAAAGGAGTTGGGTCGCCCTATCATCAGTGGGGAAGAAGTAAGGTTTTCATATACTGTAAATTATAAACATTCTCCAGTCTGTGAAGCGTGTATGATGGTAACCAGACTAGCCATGCTAATTATTAGCCCTGCACTGAAATGTCAAAAGGTGCTTAAGCGATCGGCTTGGATTTTTATGAAGAACTGAGTACATCAGTACAGCCCCATGCTGTGTCATGGATAAAACAGTAGGATAGACAAGTCATTGCCCTCACTCAGTTGCTATTTTCATGTCTGAGGAGAGGGAAATCTGAAGCTACCCAGACAGCAGTTCAGTGGCTTGTACGTGCTAGCATACAAAACTTAACCTGAGGGCCTATATCTGTCTTCTCTGCTAGTGCCCCAAGGCTTGCTTCCGACGTGGGATTTGTCTGTGGGGCCATGCAACGTGTGTGAAAGCACAACAGTTGCACCTGAAGACAATCATGCGTAGAGAAGAGCACTTCAAATCTGTGACTTTCCCGTGCTTCAGCTCTTTATAAGTGGTCAAAACAATTCCCTGCTTTTGTCCCCAAAGAAAACGTCCAATGCAGAATCAATGTTTATGGCCAACCCCAAAGCCTTCTGAAAAAAAGAGGGATTAAATGAAACTACTGTCATAAATTTAGTTGCATTAATTGGAGCCAGAAGAAATAGAGAAGTTTACCAAGGCTGAACTGGAAAACCTCAAAAACTGCTGCTGTATGGCTTATGTTTGCTTTAGCTCCTCTGATAAATTATAGATACTTTTACAGAAAACTGTTTAAGAGTTTACTCAGTAACATCTTAGCATTGGACAACTGCAAGCAAAGCTCATCACTCAGTGAA